AACATTTGGATTATGCAATCGACCTTTCACTTGCAGGTATCTGTATAAAAAAAACTCTACTTTTACTTTTTTCGAAAGGACTATCCAACCATCATCTTTCACATGTTGATTGGAATCTTTAATTTGTAGGAATATCATTAGCTGAACCAAAAGCTGAACCTCCTAATTATTTTTTTCTGTTGTTCAACAAGCTGTAGCTATTACTCATCTTTTCCATAAACAGTACGATGATTCTATCTTTCCATTTATCAGGTAAGTTCGATTTACATCTGTCATGGCGTGCTCCACACTTTCTGAATGAAAGTCTCAGCGCTGATTATCTTTAAACCATTTCTAAATTTCGAAATTCTAATTGCAATCCTCTTCCTTCAAGTAATTTACCAAGAATCCATTCATTTTACAGCGATACACCTATCAAGGATGATTTTATAAAGAAACGTGGTGATTGTTTGCGTAACGTTGAAAATCGTATAAATCTTGGGCTTGAACGGCAGATTAATGCAGTAGTTGGTTACATACGTTTCTTGTTGACTAATGAACAAAAGAAGACAGATTTTCGTCCTGAAGATGAAAACCAAATGGTGACAGCTATGTCTAATGTTAGTTCCATTCTTCTCAAAAAAACGGACATCTTCCCACGAAACATTGTTCTGCGGATTTTACGGCAGCATTCTAAAGATCATTTTATGTGGAGTTACGTTGATGTCCTTGTAGGATAGTATGTGTAAAAGTCAACGCAGCTAAGTTATATAAAATAGCATGTCGCATTTTTTTTTTCCTGAAGAAACCCAACTTGACGCAAAAGATGAACTGCAAATTTTGACAGTTTATACATCTTTGAAAATTTTTATCATATCCGATTTGATCTTTTCATTACGCCTACAATATACGGATACGTTCTTCTTTTTTTCTCTACTTCATAATTTTTGAATACCATGAACTTTTCAGGCTTGTGCCCTTGTTATCAAATACTTGAATGCAGAAGTACAGGTGATACGTGATAGTCTTGATGGAGGTAATTTGACAACTCTGCTTCTCGAATTTGGTCGTCGTTTCTACAAAGTTCTTTTGACGCATATATATCAATTCACATATAATTCTCAAGGAGCTATGCTTTTACTATGTGATATCAACGAATACAGGTGGTTTTTTAAAAATTTTTTGTTGCAATTTGTTAAAAAAGTTGTATAATGTATAATTGTATAATTCAATGCTAAAAGCAAAAATTCAATGGCAAATCGAATTTGTGTGGATATTTAACTATGCCTTCCAGTAGTAATGTTATTGCATTTGGATATTGTCATTTAGCAATCATTCTTCGGAGAAAGCTATTGTTAACCATCAATGTAATCCACCTGATCAAATTACCATTGATTAAATCAAGATTGTGAAAATATTTCCGGAAAAAAATGTTTTTCTCGCTTTTTCAAATGTAAATCTATGATTTAAATTTAAAACAGACAATATTTCAGAAAATGTGTGCTTAGCTGGAAAATTCCGGAAATTGGCAAGCAATTTGAAGCTTTACATGCACTTGCAAACTTGTTAGTTGTTGTGCCTGAGAATTTAAACGAAGCTTGCTCATCACAGTTACTGGTTAGTTTGCTGAGACTTTGGAAATATCTGGCCAAAAAATATTTACTGCGTCATTTCAGGGAAACTTTAGGTTTTGCTGTATTTCTTTGCATTTATTTGGTGTCTTTTTCAGATTGATACTGATCGAAGAATGGTTAATAGCTTCATACAACTTCGGATGGATTATCGAACAGCAAAATTACACTTAAATTTTATATGAATATGGTGGCAAATTTTCTTTTAATCTAACTGACGAATACATTTAACCGAATAGTCTTGGCGGGTGACTCGGTGAATCATTTTAGCTGGCGTTAGTCCCTCACAACTAAATTCAAAAGTGACTTTATACGAAGGATTATAAATTATTATTGTGTAATACACTTCTGTAACTTTGTATATAATTTTGTTTCAAATTGTTAACGGAATTTAAATTTTTGCAAAAATTTTGGACTTTGCTTTATTAATAATTTAGATATGGTAATCTTAGGAATGTATTCTCTGCTAATATTTTGGACTTTTCTTGGTGATTTAAATATGCTAATCTTCAGAATTCATTCTGTGTTAACATTTTAGACCTTTATTAGTGATTTAAATGTGGTAATTCAAAAACTTCTTTCTTTATCCCATGATAATAGTAAATTCATTTGTTGATATGTTCCTTTACTTACTTCTCTCATTTAGGTGCTTAATTTTAGTACAGTTAAAGTCTTTCAACTTTAAATTAAGTTTGAGTTTAAGAAAACTTAGCTTTTATCTTTAACTCTTATTCTTCATCTTTGTTATATCACAACTGTTGCATCTGTTGGCTATTTATCAATTGATTTTCACGATGTTTCGTACCACTGTCTTCCTAAAATTATAGTTCTACCATTACGTTATGTATTCTCCCAAAATTATAATTTTCCATAATTATCCGTGAGTATGTACAGTTTTGGATCGACAAAAACGGGTTAGATTATAATATGGTCTTTATGTATGCTTCAAATTTTCTGACAGTATAAAATTTCAATTTCTTCTATCACATCGTTAATAATATGGTTACGAAGCCTATAACTCATTCGTCAGTATAAGCTTCAATTTTTTCAATGGTAAATTCTGAGGGAATTTGCATAAACGATTTTAGAAAATGAACTCTTTTTTGCTTAATCACTTAAATGAATTTCTGTGTTTTTAAATTTTCCAACTCAAAAATTTGTCTTATCATTTGTAAACATGACCGATTGTCATTTGTCACATTGTCACATGGTTTAAAAAGCGTAATTTGAATAGATTTCTTTTTTAATAAAAAAATTACTATAGGATTATTGGTATGATATTTGACAATTTATATAGTGCGTATTTATACAGTATCTTTTACCGATTTTTAACTGATTCCTTTGCGGAGTGTTCCATTCTAACCTTAGTGTATTCCTAAATGAAATCTCGATTTACACAGATCACTCATATATATATATATATATATATGATCTCATATGTTATCCGTTCTTGACCGGATATCATCGGAAACGTATTGAACATATTTGGTTGTTGCTGAACTGACTTGGGATATATTCGGTTGTTCGTTAATACCCGCCCGAAAATATATTTTTCAAAAATTTTTGATACATTTAATTTCCGGTTGATTTTTAATTTCAGAACTTTCGAGTTCTTGAAATGGCTGAAATTGAGTTAACAACTACAGCAGAAGCAGAACGATATCGTTCCGAAGGCAACGAACATTTTCGCTCATGTCGTTATTATAATGCAATTAAGAGTTATACGAAATCATTGGAATGTCATGAAACATCCGCGGTGTTGGCAAATAGAGCTCAAGCTTACCTCAATACCAAACAGCATGTTCTTTATTTATTTTATTTCATTTTTATTTCTTATTCAAATTTATTGTAATTCACTGCTTATGCGCAAAATCAATCCTTTTATTCTTGCTTTTTTTTTCGTAGGAGGATGATTTGGATAAATTACTGGAGTTATTTAGTAATAAAAGAAAGAAAAATATGAAATTGTTACATTTAAAAAAGTATGAGACTTAGAAGATAAGTGAATGAGTTAATTCAGAATTTAGGTGAGGGATTGCGAAAATGCTCATTTTCCTCAGATTATGAAATTGTTTGAGATTTAAAAAACGTTCTTCCACTCTAAATCATTTCAGTTTTGATAAGTTAGTTAAATAACTCATTAGAAATTTGGTTGATACCAATATTTTTATTTCTTTAGGATTATCTGCTTAACAGCCGCATTAGACGAAATGATCTAGGAGGATTTTGAGGATATGTTTAGTTTATTGGAATTATTACTGTAATCTTATGAAAATTAAATTTTACAGATACGAACGAGCCTTAATGGATTCTGCGAGAGCGTTGGAATTAGATGCAAGCAATATAAAGGCAATATTTCGGTAAAAGTTTACTTTTTTCCCTTTCGATTTTTTTTTTTTTTTTGAAATTTGAAATATCGGGTCCTTCAGCCTACTGCATCAATATCAGCAATATTAGCATTGTGTATATATTTCTTATCTTTCTATCATTTTTTGAATCCCTACTTATCTTGAGCTAATAAGATGTATCATGATTCTATACCATTGAAATTATCCTCACCGTTTTATTAATTTTTTGGAATTTTTAGACCAGTTCCAAAAAGAACATTTAAAATAACGTCGGCATCTTTTGATGAAATACATATGTATATTATTCATATGTATTTATTTATATATATTTAATTGACCAATCAATTAATTAATTGATCAGTTTTTTCACCCGTTCATTTATTTGTTTGTTTATTTATTTAATTTTTAATTTGCATTTATATAAAGAGGTGATATGCCAAATGCACTCCCTATAACATTGCAATTAATAGATAGAACACATACATTAATGAATAAAATAGCATAAAAGCTATTCATATCAAGGAATAGAGTAGCTGCTTTTATTGGTCTACTGATGAGTTGAAGCTTCATTTACAGCTATGCAAAAGCATTGGAAAATTTGCACTTGTATGAAATCGCAGCTGAAAAAATTTCAAAAATTGATTTAACCAATCCAAAGAATAAAGAAATAGCAAAGCTGAAACAAAATCTTCAAGACAAGGTATTTGTTACGAAATTTTATAAAAATTTGATTTTCCTGTTTTTAGGATAGGTCAATTTATCTGTTTTTAGGTTTTTGATAATAATGTTAAGGTGAGTTTTCTCAAACTGTTTCCAAAATAGTCAGCTAAATTCTATGAAACTTTTCATAAAATTATAATTAGCTTCGTGTCTATTAAATTTTGTTGCATTTTTCCGGAGGTTTTTCCAATCCATCGTTTTAAAAGTATCAAAATCTGTGTATTACTTGATGTATAAATTTATTTCAAAGGTGAATTGTGCAGAACTGAAGTTGTCATGTGGTGAAAGGGATGAATTTCTTCGTTCGAAAGTACCATTAACGGAAATTAAAAATATTGAAATAGTGAGGATGGAACCAGCTGAACAAATAATCCAGGAGAAACAACAGATATCTTCCACAGTAAGTAATTTATTTTTTGAAATTATGGTTCAAATCAACTTTCCATTTTTGTTTTCTCTTTTTTCGCGCATCTTTTTTCATCCATTAATTTCAAACTATTAACTGCTAACATGAACTCTCATGCTTTAATTTTGTGAATTTTTTGCAGATTTTTACAAAAAAATTCTTTAATCGAATAAACAGTGCATAACTTGGTTTTCAATTCAATAAGTATCATCTACTGATCTTGAATTTCTACAGTCATCTCCCTGTTTCTGACAATAACTGTTCGTTTTTTTTGTCAGGAATCGCCATCACTGGAAATTCCACCTCCTCCAACGACATCATTTATTTTTATCTCTGATTTCCATAGGCTTAAAGGTGAACCAATAGCATTTGCCGAATATTTCTTGGTGAGTTATTATTTATATTTTTCCCCCGCCACATTTCCATCTATTTTATTTTTTCTGCAAACTTTTCAAGTGTATATGAATTTTGATAAATTTATTATTCATTTTTAGCTATTCATACCACTATTCAGTTTAATCTTCAAGAATAAAGTCTTTACATTCTTTCTTTATTCCCTTGTTATATTCATTGTTTCCTTTAGCTTATTGTAAGGTGACATTGAAACCACCTAATTCATGGGAACATTTGCTTCTTAAATACTAATTTCCCAATAAATTGTGATTTTTTCTGTTTTGCAATGTGATAGATTTTAAAATTATATTATCTTTATTATTATTCAGTCAATTGATAAAAATAACTATGGCGAATTGTTGGATGAAATAATTGAAACAGAAATGATCAAGTGCTTAATTGTTGGTTTCGATATTCTAGCTAATGAGTCAAATATTTCTCAACTATTAGAATGCTTGATTAAGCTAGCTGATGTTTCCCGAATTGATATCGCTGTATTGTTTTTGGATGAAGCTACAAAAAATGGTCTGTTTTTGGAATAATTTTTGTGTATTCAATTAAATAACAATATTTACACAATATTTTCTTAACTTTTGTGGATATCTCTGAACACCGGTAGTTTAACCGGTCAGGTAGGTAAGGTGAAGAGTTAGAATAAGATGCCACCAAGCTTCATTTTATATTTCAATTACGTTTTTTTTTTTTTTGTCATAGATTGATAATCCAAAAAATTTTTCAGTCATGCCGTTTTTCAAGTAGATATGAACTTCCAGATCTCCGGGTATAACTGGCTACTAAATTAATGATATTGATAAGTAAATTTTGCAAAACTGTCGTATTGTTCCTTCTTACCTTTCATCCTTCTTCTCTTCTGCACTCTGTGATTTATCTGATTGACTATAGCAGTACATCCTACTTACCTGTTTTCGCGTGGGCTTAACGGCTAGTTAGATTAGAACTTGAAAATATCTACTAGGTCACTTTACGAATCTGGAACTGTATGAACTGTATCTTGTATGCGCATCACAAATAGAGGTTACTTATCATCTTTGGTCATTAAAAAAAAGTCATTAATTCATTAGCTTGTACTATTGCAGTAGTTTCCGACAACTTTTCCACTATATACACCAGAAAATTCCTAAAAGAAATTTCATTCTCGGGTGGAGACTTTCCATTCACGCATTGAACAGATAAAACTTACTTATCTCTTTTGGTTATAAAAAAAAAAAAAATCATCATTAATTCGTTGACTTATACTACTGCAATAGTTTGTCTTTTTTTTTTCAGTGATAAGAAGATTGGTGGAGTCATATCCAATGAATGAAAATCAATTATCCATTTTACAAGTCCTTTATGGTCTGTGACATTTCGAAATAATCAAATAAAAGTTTATTTTAATCCCTATTTTTATGTCACATTTTAAGCAAAAACAAATATATCCAGGAATATATATATGCTTCGATATTATAGCATAATTAAAGCATCTCTTTATTCTAAATAGAAAAGTTAAACTTTCATTTTCTTTTTTAATTTTAATTTATGAGCATATTGGCAACAGTTACTGCGTGATGTTACTCATCATTTGGTGACAATTGGTAAGACTTTTTAATTTATTTATAAAATGAATTTTATCAAATACCTTACTCAATAAATTGATGTGAGTTTTTGTTTGTTTACCTTGTAAATGTAAGAGGAAAAAAAAGGGAAAGTAATTTCACAATGAGAATTTCTTGACTATTTTGAAAGTTTTTTTTTTATTTTCTCAACAAAACTGTAAACATTTTCTTGCCTTTCACTTTTTTCCACCATCTTCAATAGAAATTGTTAGAAAATTCCAATAAATGATGAGTATTTTACATCATTTTGTGTGATATTTAATGGATTAAAATAAATTCACGAATGGTTCAATCAATGATGGAAGAAGTGACAATACATACCGTATGATCCGCTATTGCTGATAACTGAATTTAAAATTAAATTATAAATGATTTATCTGTGATTTGCATTGAAGTTAATGATTAGATTAGGTATTTGAAAGTGGTAATTAATAATTATGGATGTATAACAATTGAATATTAAAGCTAAAAAGTAAATTAGTTATTAAAACTACTAATTGAAACTGGGTGTTCAAAGGTAATAATAATTATGAATATGAAACAATTAAATGTTGAAACTAAGTGGCAAATTATTAAGAGTAGTAATCAAATTAGATGTTCAAAAGTGATAATTAATAATTGTAAATGTGTAACAATTAAGCAATGAAATTAGAAAATAAGTCAGCTATTAAAACTAGCAATTAAATTAGGTATTCAGGAATAATAATTAATGATTTTGAACATGTAACAATCAAATATCGGGACTAAAAATTGGATTAAATATTAAAATTAGTAATTAAGTAAGGTATGGGAACTAGCAATTAAATCAGTTGTTTTAAAGGAATAATTGGTAATTTTGATTATATAACAAATATTAAAACCAAGAAAGAAAAAAGTTAAATATTAAAAGTAGTAATTAATTCGGGCGTTTAAAGTAGTAATTAATTATTAATGTATTTTTACAAAATCCTTAATTCACATTTACCAAACAATCCATTCATAGCTATATGGCCATATATTTATTAAATTTGATAAATTTCGCAATACATGCATTTATTGTGATATTTTCTTGGCTATAAAATTTTTATGATAAAATCTAACTTCAACCAATTTCCATTATCAAAGTTGTTTGTGTTGATTTTGGAAACTGATTACATTCTTTATCATTTCATTATCAATGTATCATAATATTTTTCAAATTTATTTACAAAAAAAAAGCAAATGACAAAGCTATAGTTACCATTGTAACTATTGTAACTATAACTTTGTCATATTCATGAAAATATAAACAGATGACAAAGTTATAGTTACCATTGTAACTATAACTTTGTCATATTGATGAAAATATTTTTCGAATTTTTTGTCATCTCTTTTTACATGAATATATTTTTGAATGTACATTTGTAAATTTAAATTTTTTAAGCAAATTTTTGTTGACAACAATTATGACAGTTTTGTTTTCTTTTTCTTTTTAATTAGTAATTATTCTTAAATAATTGTTATTTTTATTGAAATTTCCAAATGTTTCCTTTTATGTTTCATTTATAACGAAAAGCAATGTAAAATATTTGTAAATTTGCTTTATTTTGATGCAAAAAAGAACAGGTTCATTTAATTGAAACTAATTTAAAAATTAAAGATTGCAAATATTTCTTATCAAATATAAATTTTTGTTCTTTGATCATTTTTATTAGTGATAAATGGAAGAGATGAAAAATTGTTAAATTATACAGTGGAACATATAGGATTGATTTTTATTTTAAATATTAATTGTCACATGTTTCAAATTTAAATAAAATATGAAATGGAAACAAAAAAAAAGGCAAGAAAAAAACGTCATCAGTAATCTATGAGATTTCTTATGACATTTACATACTTGTAAAAGTATGCCGTGGCAATCAATTATCACTAAAAGTAGTCGTTTGATAACAGTTATCAGAAGAAAATTTTCAAAACGTAATTAAACGTAATTAGAAAGAAGTAAAACGTAATTCAAACGTTCCTTTCAAAAGTAATTAATTAGTATATATGTAACGCCATAACTTTCATTCTTTAATCACATTTAATTTTGAAATTTCAAATTATACATCCAAATTTGAATACAAATTTGCTACTCCAAAATAAAAGAAATCATTTTATTTTATTTTTCCAAAAAAAAAATATTATGACTATAAAAGAAAGGTTAAAGATTATGGTATGAAATGAGAAATTGTTGATGAAGTATAAACATTTTACCAAATTCATCGTAATTATTTCGATTATTTTCCTCTGTCATTGGTTTTTTTTCTTTTTGTTTTTGTTTTTTTTTCTTGTTAGTTACATTCCCAATTTGTTAGAGAAAGTTTTTTTTCTAAAATTTAAATTATAAATGAAAAGTGAATAATTTGCCTGAAATTTAAAATGAAAATTAACAAAAGCAGCAAAATAACAAAATATTTTGAATTAAAAAAAAAAAAGAACGTAAAGCAAATTAAAATTTGCTCATTTTAAAAATTTGTAGCAAATATTACAAGTGAGGAAAAAAAAAAGACTTAATACTTACAGTTAACTTTCATTATGATTTCAGATTTTCTTTAAATTTACACCAATTTGGAAAACCATTTTCAAACTTCTAATTAATTGTAATTAATTATAGAGATTAAAAGTTAGGAAAAGAAATCGAACTCATTGATTTGATCTTAGCCCGATATAGATGTTTATTAAAACTTAATTTAAGAGATGTGATATGATAGGATGATTAGATTATTATAGTTCATTAATGAAATAATTCCATAACTGTTTTACAATTTTTTTCTCAAAAATTATTTATTTGAATTTGTTTTCTATTCATATTTTAAGTTCATTCTTCTATTTTTTCCAAAAAAAAAAAAAAATTGAATAATTTTTCTTTTCAAATAAATATTTCATTTTCAATATCAGTGAAAAGTGATGAATTATTGTTTTGAATGTAAGAAATAAAATGTAACTGATAAGGTGTTAACATATCACTGAGAGCTGTACTTAATTCGAATTAAATCACTACTTGATCGCATTTTTTAAGTTTCGTTCGAATTTAATTTTTGTAAATCTTACTTTTTTATAAATTTACACAATACGATATCTTTTATTGGGAATTTATTATTTTTTTTTAATTTTTATTAGTTTTTTTTTACATTTCAAATTTTTCTTTTTTTCTTATAATGATGTAATAATTGCTCCTTCACTTTATCACGAGAAATACTGTAATGGTACAATATTAGCTAAATGATCTTGTCCTGGAAAATGCTGTAATTGTACGGTACAACTACCTAATCATATCTTGGGAAATGTTTCAATGATACAATGTAATTGCTTGACCTTATCCGAAGAGATGATAATGCAACTGTTTGACCTTATCCAAACGGAAATACTGCACTAATATAAAAGAGTTATGCTATTTAGTATTCATTGAATTGGTGTAATATTTTAAACAAATGAATAAAATTAATTTTATACAACAGCATAAAAATGAAATTTGAACAAAAAAAATTGAAAATATAATTTAAAATCTTTAAAAAATTTCAAATTAAAAATTTTTTAAATATTCAAAAAAATAAATATGTTTAACATTTTCTTTCGTTGTTTTTGTCGCATTATATATGCAAATATTAAAAAATATGATAGATATTGAATGTTGACACGGTGACAATATCAGCAATACGTTGACAAGTATCAATTAAAATAAAAAAGGGAAAAATAAGATTAATAATATATTTCAAAGAATGAAATAATTTTAGTAATATGATTATTCATAAAAAAGAAAAATTAGGATTTGCATAATTTGAAAAGTGTATATCAGTTTTATTTATTTTTTTTTCTTTGTATTTTTTTTGTTTTTGTTAATCTTTGAAATACAAAATTTGAAGTAGCAAAATTTTTTCAAACAAAATATTGCATATTTTAAGACTAAGAAATATTCTATTTTGATTTTTATTAATTTGTTGCTGGAATTTTTTTTTTTGAAATTCATTAATTTTGTTTATTTTACACAATTTGAAATTTTAGAAATTAATTGATTTATTTGCATAAAAATCTTCAATTATTCTTATTTATTACTTGAAATAATACAAAATTCAGCAAATCTAAATCAAATTTTAAAAAAAAATGCGAATTTTTTAATACATGTAATTTACATATCGTAAAGATTGAATATTGATCGATCGAAATTTCTGTGATCAAATTCGTTTAAATATTTTATACACTAGTATAGATGCAAAATTCATTCATCTTATTGAAATCAAGTTTTTCAAACCCATTTCGACGACCATTCTAGCATTCATTAAAATAGCACACCACAAACCATTTCGTCATTAATTGGTTAAATTAATTTAAAAAAATTTTTTTTCCTAACTATACAAATTTTACC